TCAGGCACAATATTCTCAGGTTCAGGACATGCTTATCTGATCCGTATACACTTAAGTGGAGGGATTTCAGGATCACTAAAGTCAGGACCACTTGATCGAAATTTAATCAGAGTAATTGCCGGCTGTGGAACAGCTTAAAATTCAATCGCTTGATTAGAAAGTGATGAAAATGACTAGGAGTAAATTGAAAGTAGATGGACTTCAGGTCATGGTCAAACTCTTGAGAGGGTATTCTGCTTTGAGGTGAGGTCAACCGAATTCGAGCTTATTACTAGAACGATTACACGATTTTTGGTTCACATTAGGCTCTCCGGATCAAAATTTAATGAATTTTTTGGATTAGTAAAATTTGATTAGATTGTGGCCAGATTTATTAGTCAAATCTCATCACGAGTTGAATAGCAAGATCTCATTCTTTTAATCTTATGGGATTACGAGCGAATGTGAAAATGTGTCTTCTGCCACAGATTATTAATCTGTAAGATTATACTGTTAAAAAATCCTGAAATTTCATGGACCACCTTAGAATGTTGAAACATAAATGCCCATCATCTCCCTTTTAGATAGGATTCAGACTTACATGTGAATGCAAGTCGAGACAAGGCAGTCGAAGCCGCGTAAAATAGCATTTAAAAAATCCTTTGTCCTTACTATTCAAAGTGATCTTCAGTAAAAACATCAGAATCAAAGACTCCACCGGGTTCGCTCTGAAGTATATAAAAAAAATGTTAAATAGATTAAAACATTAACGTCCCTCGTGTGATGCATAATGAGCGGAGAAAATCCCTTTACGCGGCCGACCTCCGGAGGGTTTTACTGCTGGGGCGTCAGAGCCCAGCGAGATGTTTTAGGATAATCGCTTTTACCGCACACCAAGTCTGAAATACCCTGAAAGTCATACCTCTGCCAACGCCCACCCTTGTATTCACCAAGACAACTCTTCTCTACATACGTCATGCCTCCTCTACCCGAACAAATCTCACATTATGATTCATAAAAATAATAAAAATCCCAACTCATTATGAATAAAAATTAAAAATAATTGCTAGCATCAGGTCATGTTTTCCATGAAGAAATATTCAGAGAAAAGAAATTCGAATGAAAAGAATTCTACTTTTCTGTAAGCCCTCGCGGCGGATGTTATAATGAAAAGTGTGAGCGACCAATGGGGGTGGTTTAGAGATATCCATGCGGAAATTTTGCAAATGGTAACGAAAGAAAATGATAAGAAGACAGGGTATCCACTCTTGGGATTCTTAAAAGGAGCTTAACTTTGAGCATAAAATTAAGCTATTGTAATTGTGCAAATGTGGGTGTAACTCCCCTCTTGCCAGTCCCTCTGGACAGGTACAAGAGTAGAAAAGAAAGAAGGTGGTTAGTTTGTGGTGATGGCAGAAAGCAGCAAAACCCATCCTGGCCAACCGTCGCACTGGGAAAATATAATTTGTCGTTGGCTAACTTTCGTTTCACCGAGACGGGTTCCTGAACGTTTGCGGAAATAGCGCTTGCCGCTGTAATGGCTCCAAATGAAAACGGCAAAAATTGAGAAATAAAAAAAGGAAGAGTAAAATGAAAGAGAGTGGATAAAAAAAATGGTTGAAATATAAGTGAGATGAAAGTAACCGAAAAGATGAACCTGGGAATACGTATGGCAGTGAGGTTGAGGACTAAACTCTTGAGAAAAAATAACCGTTAGCTCACGGCGGAATTGGATTACCGAACAGATTAAAAAGTGAAATGGCTGTGGTTAACCAGCGAGTTATTAAATTTTTCTTGCATCCATTTTAGAAATTGTTTATTCTTTATGAGTTTTAGGTTGGGGTCAAGTGCTTGCGGTATTTTCATACAATGGCGGTGAAACAATTTTGATCATCGCACGAAAACTCAAGTGAAGAAGATGCAATTTCATGGAAATTTATCACTTCGAATCAGATTCTTGTCCATCAATTAATTGGCAATTAATCATTTTTCGATTGTTCTTTTTCGTTTACTCAATGGCTGGGGAGAACAATTAAAAACAAATTACACTAGGCAGCTTTCGCCTCGCTAAATTAGACGGTCGATAATGAAGAATGGGATGAAATTGCAATGAACTTTACCGAAATTTAAATTCATATGATAATAGGATCTTGAGCATCGATTATAGAATATATAATCAAATGCAAGCCATGGAATTAATTTTTTTTATCATTGATTTGTACTAAACATTTCACTATATTCAAATTTAAATTAATATATCAATTGATATACCGACGGTAGTGGCCGTGCGGTTAGAGTCCTAGACTAGCATGCCAACGATCCGGGTTCGATCCCGGGCACCGGCGGTCAAAATTTATAGCGCTCTAATCTCACAGTTTCACTGTCGAGCGGTAGTCCTGTCAAAAGGACGACTGTACCAGGGCAGGTTTTTCCCCTCGAATGAGGTTTTTCCCCTCGAATGAGGTTTTTCCCTCCCTTCGGCAAATGCGGTACAGGGGGTTTGGGGGGTGGGAAGGGAACAAATCGTAAAGACCCGAAAGGGTATACGAGAGGAGAAATTAAAAAAAAATATATATCAATTGATATCTGCGTATGGACATAATATTTGCCGTGGATTTTTCGTTTTGGGAACCTCAGACCCAAGTCCTCTTTGTTTATGACTGAGGCTAGAGTCTGCATAGCCAATGTCCTAAATGGTTTCCAGATGAAAAACCCCGAGGTGTCAGGTAGAGTCAATCAAGGTCCTCATTGTCCTCAATTTATTTTCCAGTCCTACTCGAACGCGTTTAAATTTTCTCTCACACAATTAAGAAACTCTAATCACTATTTCTTCATTAAAATCGCCCGAGGAAGAATACCGTTTGAACTCTATCAATATCTCCAAGAGACTAAAGACTAGCCACAAAGACCATAAGAACATTCGTCACCAAAGAAAGAACTCTACAATGGTTTCTTGTGAAACCGTTGTTTATGTTTATGCAAACTCTGAGGCGACTCCGTGGAGCCCTCCATATCGATTCATTTTTGTAATCATCATAAATCAGTTCAATATATTTCTATGAATTTTAACTTGATATTCCAACAATTTGTAAAACGAGGTGAAACCATTATTATCATTTCAGAGGGTACTATTTGTGTTGAACTAAATTAAAAGTTTAATATAAAACTGCAAAACATTCTAAATCATGGACTTCATATTGTATTCCATTGGTTTTTATTTACGAATGGAAACAAAAAACCTAACCTGAAAGGTCGCTGTATCTCATTCTTTTCCGCGTTTCATTCTCTGGAGATCTAATTTCCAGTAAATTTTTCATGCAGTATGTGGGGGAATTTGTATTTTTCAAATCCACTGAATATGTCATCATAACAGAAACCCCGCGTTGGCGCATGTTATGTACACAACCGCATTCCTTCATTTCTCAAAATGAAAAGCGTCCTGACACCCGAGTGCGGTGCACATGGTACCGACTGATCGCACTGATGCTGGTTATTTATAATACATGACAAACGTGCAATGATATGTAACCGGATATTGCAAAGTACGTGATACAGTATCAGTAAGCAGTTGGGCAGTAAATTATGACTAGGTGTTACTTGTGGACTTTCAGAATTATTGATATCCCCGGATTCACCCCCATCTCGATGTTAACCCGAATGGAAAAAATGTCCGTCAACTAATCATTTTATTCTAGTCTTTTTGTTAGAATCTCTAGTGCTTCTGTATTGTTAAATAATTGAACAAATAAAAGGTAAGTGAAAAGTTTTAAGAAAATATTTCGAATGAACACATAAATAATATACTATATTATGTCTCTCGACCCGCGCTAACCTTGTACTTTTTCTGCCCTAGAGAGGTAAGTGGACGTTTATCGTGGTCCTTTTTACTTACCGCCCTTGGACAATAAAAATCCTCGATTAGTCAGGCCTCATAACATAAAGTAACGTATGCTAGAGGCGCTGAAGTGTATTTTAGCAATATTTTTGATCAGAAAATACCAAAACACTTTTCAGCTCTTGTAGCATAAATGACTATAGTTCATCAAAGGAGGAAAACAGGGCAGTCTTACCCGCATTGGAATGCCCTGTTTTTCTTTTTTGGTGGTACACTTTGTTCTTTCCATTATCACTACATAGAAAAATTCGATTTTCCTTCGTAACTGACGAAATAGTATATTTCACGCCTAGGACGAAAAAAGGGAATCTGACGAATGCGACTTTATAGTCCGAGTCGGAGACGAGGATTATAACGCGCATGAGTCAGAATCACTTTTTTCGCTGTGGCTATGATGCTATTTTATAATATATTATATTATTGTGGCCGAAAACACGTTTTTATCCGAGCGAAGCGAGGTTAGAACCGCGTTTTACCAGCCGCAATGACATAAAAGTCGTTCTTGCATAGAAGTTTTAGTTTAAAAACGCAGAAATAAAATTTCAATTAAATTTATTGACGCAATTTTATGAATATATTTGGATGAATTACTTCTCAAGTGGAATCTGTTCACCGGATGTACCCACAGCTGAATACCGATCACAGCATTAAAACAATTATATGAAAATAATACTTATCAGAGTTCAGCAATAATTCCTGTTTGGTAGTTATTATTATTATTATTATTATTAATGTCCGGGCATTTATTAAATTTCGCTTTGAAGCTGAGTGACCGATGTTTTAATTAATGAAACATTCGATTCTGGTTATTTTGAAAAAATATGAGAATGATTGAATAATACTTCTGAATATTTCTGTTGTGTAACAGAATCATATCAAAATAATCGGTTGAATGAATGAATAATTCCTCTTTAGTAATTTTTTTTTTAATAGAAAACGTGAAAGCTGTTATCGTTATCTATCAAACTGAGATGGATAATGATTTCGCTGGGGATTTTTTTATGATTTGAGAACGCTATAGAACATTAACTGAAGATTAGGAATCGCGGGATTACAATTTTTTAGTTAAGAATATTCGTAAGACATCTTAATTGTGTAAACCAGTGGCTGACTGCACTTTTAGCTCAAATATAGTTTCGACTCAAGACACTCTTTGATTTCCCATGCATGAATGCAGCATTGGAATCCCATTGTCTTGCGAACTCCACGACGGATGCGAATGGCAGAATTAAAGGATGATATAACAATGATAAAAAGCCTGCGAAAGAGCAGAACAGAATAGAATAATAGCATCGACCTTATTCAATTTTCTAAAGGCTTCGTAGTCATAAATTACTGCATATTCCAGACAACAATTAATCAATAAAGTAATAATAAAAGAAAGTCTTGAGCAAAAGCTTGCGTGAATCTTTCTGATCAGCAACCTTTTTCAGAGTGCAATCTTAATTTCAAACTTATGAAACATAATACGAAATGAGGAAGATGTATAATGCACTTTTTATTGGTGTTAGGTGCAGCTTTCCATAACCTGGTTATTATTAAAAATTGATTGGAGCTTCTATTCACGGGCGCCCGTTCCGATATTTGAGGCATCATCGGCTCGAGTAGAAATGTAAGTCAGATCTTGATCAGATTTTGATCGAATCTCAAGATTTTAATTTGAGTTGAAATCTTAATCAGAGTCTGATCAGATGTGCCTAAAGCTTGACCCAATCCCCTTGAAACGCGACCTTTTCCAGAGTTCAACCTAAATATCGAAAGGGAAATGGACAAAAATGAAAGAAAATAAAAAGCCCCAAATTTATGAAACATAATACAAGATGAAGAAGATTTATTATGCACGTTGCGAGGATGTTAGGTTAGATTAGAGGTCGAAAGCATACGGATATACCGTTGAGTCTGGCGTGCTTCTCGTTTATTATGCGAGTGAGGTTGGCTCAGGTTACGATGGGCTCGAGCTTGGCATAAACCTTGCCGACAGACGGTAGGATCGAGGAGTGCAAGCGAAAACGTTGAGAGGACAAGGACAAATGGAGAACCGTGACGTCGAGCAACTGGGACGAGTTAACAACTTCACTATCCAATGCCTCAAAAAGTCGAGAACCTGAACCCGATGAAGGGTGAGGTGAAGGAAGCGATGGCAGGTAAATTCCAGTATTACGCTTCTATTTTCCTCTGTTTCACCAGTGCCATACATGAAATTCTCCACTGTCAAGCTATATTATACCATGAGGATTATAATGAGACCGGATATTATGCTATTAATGGATTGCTGGAATTTTTCATGCGTGTTGAGCGACGGGGACTAAGCAAGTACGTTTCATCGTTTTGTGTAATCCCTCCTTGAAACTCTGATAAGCCGGTTAAACTACTCGACAAGAGCTCATATGCCTGCCGTGCCAGCGGGTCAAGTGCTTTTCGTTTCAGTGATGCGTAATTCTCACCGTTTACATTTTCTTTCGTGGATTATTGTGTAAGTGGTATATTTTCATGTGGGAGTCAAAAAATCTTGGCCAGACAAACCCGGTCAAAATTACTTGGCAATAATCTGTGATTAGATGAACGTAGTCAAAAACACTTTTGGAATAACTTCACTTGAGTTATTTTAACTTGATCATGGAAAATTATTCTTTAAAAATACCTTATATCTTAATACCTATTTTATAAAATACATTTTTGGACAAATGCGCTGTTTAAAGTGGGTTTTGGGTTTTCGTTTAATTGAATAGTGTTGGAACTTATGTGACTTGTTTGGTTGATAACTGTTATGTCTATTTACAATCATTATCTGTATGACACGTCGCCTGTTGATGACCATTTTCGGTTTTGTTTTAGTATAAAAGTGATGATAGTTATTTGCACGGTAGCAATATTACTTCTGGAAGATATTGTTTTTAATATTCATTTCATAGTTTTTCAATTTCAGTTGTCGGAGTTATTACTTTGGATTTTCGTATGATTATTCTCTTGAGTAGTTGATGTCATAAATATTTTTAGTAGATATTTTTTATTGACCTTCTTTTATATGCACTTGTTTCTTTTCTTGACACATTCACTTTCTATGTACAGGATCGAGACTCCATTTATATATCATCCTTACTCATTAATTATTATTGGAAATGGGATAGTTAAATTAATTAAAACACAGTTAGTAAATTCTAATCAGTATTTCTTTATTAAAATCGCACGAGGAAGAATACCGTCTGAACTCTATCAATATCTCCGAACGACTAAAGACTAGCCACAAAGACCATAAGAATATTCGTCACCAAACAAAGAACCCTACAATGGTTTCTTGTAAAACCATTGTTTATGTTTATACAAACTCTCAGGCGACTCCGTGGAGCCCTCCATATCGATTAATTTTTGTAATCATCATAAATCACTTCAATATATTTCTATGAATTTTAACTTGATATTCTAACAATTATTATAGAGAATTGCTATTGATCATGTGATGATCATTTTCCAGATTGTATTGACGATAACAAAGCTTCCTTCGTTATATCCTACCATTTTTTAAAATCAATTCCCCCCCGATGTTCAAATTTGAAAGTCTCAATGACAAATCTAATGGTCATTTGCTTTTCGATGATTGACTTTTATGATTTTGGTTTCAGTTATCGTGTGGTCTTCACGTACCAAATAGAACTGGCGACCGCTAACCCATCCAAACTATATTACTATGGTATCGATATGAGGAGAAAGTATCTGAGTATGAAATTCAATGATTACGTTCGAGTGGATGGCGATCCCACTGGTGTGGATATTACCGTAACTTGGTTGAAGGATATCACCAGATCGGCAGACATGGAACTCTTCTACATGGTTCAAACGATCGAGGGAGAGGAGATTGCATCGAAATTCTTCGATTTACCTAGCCTGTGCACTGGGCGTTATTCATACAACAGCTGGGATCGCAATATCATGGAAATTTATAGTCGAGAAATGATGAACCTGAAATGCCCTGTTGAATCGGTATTGTATGAATATTGGTCATCAATTACTTAGTGTGTTATCAAGACAAAATCTTATGTACTTCATGCCATCAGTCGTCCATTTTATGTTGTTTGCTCATGTAATAGCAGAATTTGGCTCAAAAATATTTGGGCGGAACTTGTGGTGCGTCTCGTTCATTCTAATTCAACTAGAATGAAAATTGTCTGAATTAAAAAGTTTAAATTTTCAGTACATGATGGTGGCTGAAAATTAAATTAGTGAGAACGTTAAGTTCCTTTTGTACATGTGAGTCATTATGACTGGGAAAAGAGTTTCGCTCATAACAGAAAGAAGTTCCGTTATGAATGAAACTTGAGAGCGAAGTGTTGTTTTAAATATACAGAGCAGGTTTGTGCATCTTAGCGGTCAGGTGAGCTGTTATTTAAAAATCTAGCTGTATTAAACACAATCCGTTGTTTATGTTTAGTTGAAAAACAAATTAACAAAATAGAAATCTTGAATTTTGAAAGCTGA